TGTGTGCTTCTTCCTTACCACTCCCACTACTTCTATATTGGTAAAATCTTTCATTGGCTCTTACTTGGACTCCTGAAACTAACTCCTAAATTTAGTGTTATCAACAATCAACCAGGAGATGGTATTTACACTATATATAAGGCAGGGATAAAATTCAATAGAGGAGGAAAACAATAATATAACCTCTGGTTTCTCTCCCTAAGGACCATATAGAATAATTAGCAAAACTAAATTCTTTTCATATAAAATTAGAGAATTAAGATAGCATGCCATAAAAGTTGTAATCATCCCTATTCATGTCATCTAGGCAGCCAACTTAGAAATTCAAGTTATATTCTAAATGGCAACTTATTTTTAGTAAAATAGGTTTTTAAGTAGGTTTTTAAGAAGCATTTTGGTCTGGATTACTATACTATTACTATGGCTCAATTTTTCTTTGGTTTATCACCCCTCTCCTTAATTCTTGATTGCCAACAGCCCAACTTTTAGCTATTCCCACTGATCACATTAAGTGGATAACCTATCAATATCCAATTTATGTTGTTCTTTGTAGACAAAATGTAAACAATGCCTTTTTAAGGTCATAGTTAGGTGATGTCATGAAAGGTAAAAATTAATTCTTTTAGTCCCATTCCATTTCTCTTCAGTCTAAATCCAAATCTTGCCCTAGGCAATTTCAAAAGATCAATTCAGAGTAGACTGAGGTTGAGTTTTCTCATAGAGTTATGTCCAAAAACTAGTCCTCTATCAACTGCTGAAGGTCAGCTTAGGCTGCCTGAAGGCTAGGGAGCCCAGCATGGAACAATAGCAGGAAAACAGAGTTCCCTTCAGTCCTTAATTCACATGCAAGTAAGGTGCCAATCAAGTGCTGACAAGCATGGAGAAACCGAAATCAAAAGTGGGTAGAGATGCACTTTCAAAAGGAACAGTTTTCACACATTTCTAAGTGAGGTTTTTAATGGTGGTTATGTACATACCACTAGTAACATGGAAAAGGAAATAAACGTAATTATAACAACACTAATTTTATATCAGCTGAAATGATTCAATAAACTAATGAAGTATATTTACAATTGTTTAATAAAATTATCAACACTCACTTTGACTAGGAAAAGACATATGAATGCAAATTGATTTACTGAGCACAGCAAACAGGAAGGGAAGGTGAGCTGAGATTAAAAACTTGTCACTAACTAGGAAAGCTAACAAATTTTCAATTAAAAGAAAATTTTAAGGCTGCTTAATTTTGCCAAACTATCACCTATGAAGACAAGAGCAAAGGATTCTGAAATGACCAACAATGGAAGCAATGGAATCACTTCACCAAAGTGGCTGGTAAAAGAGATGATGAAAAGCTTACAACTGCATTATTTTTTAATGACAGTTAATTTCCAAAAAATGAAATAAAACATAAACAACTAATATAGGCAAAAGTAAACTGCAATATTTGTAGATGTATTTCTGAATGAATTTGGTACATGCATTCTGATTTTGACAACTAATTCTATCAAATAATTTCTAACACAGAAATGTAGGTCTTCTAAATGATGGTTTAATAACAGTTATTTTTATATTGGAATTATTTTTTTTATATTGACATTATTTTAAATACACAAAAAAGATAACATTGGGCAGATATATTAATTTTAAAAATTGATCATCAATTCATAAAATAAGTAGTTCTTCCCTTTTGCCTCTAATGACTGAATGTTCAAATTGCTTCCAGAGCTATCTTATCAGCACCCATTCTTACTGGAATCACAGAAAGTTTAGAGAATTGGAAACTTGAGCTGTTATCATCTGATAAAAATAAAAGCTATGAAAGGCATATTTTTAGCATCACTTTTCTCATTATTATAATAAACTGTACACTGTCTTTATAGGTTGAACCTGATCACATTCCAAGATTTACTACCATAAAATGAACATTGGTTTTGAAAATAAATCTTGTAACTATAATGTATTCTTCAGGAGAAATTCAATACTTTAAGGCATAATAAAATAATAAATTATGTTCTCAGTTTTCAAGAATAGTAATTAGCAAAATATGAAAGATCTGAAATATTTTTTCTGCTCTAAATTTAGAAGTAATTTATTTCCAGATATATATTAGCAATACATTTAATTTTAAACTATAATTATAAACAATTTAAATTTAGTAAGCCTCAGGATACATTTTAGAATAAGTCCTAACTGGTACTTGCTTTTCAAATAGTAAGCACTCTAAATAATTACATATATTATTGAAGCTGTACTATCTACACAATTTACATTCAAAATACATTTTCTTAAAACTCATGACCTAAACAAAAAGAATGTAAATTTACATGAGGATGGTAGAAAAACAATCTTTATACATTCAAATATGATGTTACAACTTATGACTATTCCATAAGGAGTGTGTGTGTGTGTGTGTGTGTGTGTGTGTGTGTGTGTGTTTAAACTGGAGTACAACTTTATGACACTTTTAAAAAGTCTAACTTTATTGAAATCCAAAGGACTTAATATCTGATATGTATAGCACATTATTGAGACAGAGATCTAAACTATAATTCAAAGTGTTCAAAATTTACTATCTTATAAAGTTAATATTAACATTTTAAATCTATGTAAAGTAATTCTAGATATTACACTTATGTTAAAAAAAAAATCCTGAGTGAATATTTCAACGTTTTAAACATCATGACTTTTCTCCTAAGAATATTGGGGGAAATGGGTAATATTATTCAGCTTTAAGCAAAATAAAGGCCTGAAAAATATTTCATTGTCTTTTTATTGTTTCTTTTTCAACATTGAATTTTAAAATTCCTTTTGAAATTAAGTAGAAACATAATAGTTTTATATATTAATCAACTTTTGTCAAAATTTATGTAAAACTAATCAGTACACAATATTATGTTTTTTAGAGGAATCCATATCATTAGGCCAATAACCACTTTTTCTTTAGTTGTCACCACTAAATCCATTACATACTCCCATCTAAGTTATTTCACAAAAAGTTGCAAGTACATGAAGTTGAGATAATTGTCATTAATGTTTAAAAACCTAAACAAGGTATATTCCATTAAATAGACTTCTCAGGCCTGGTGTTGCCTGACAGATATGTGATGTGCCACTGGTTATATTATATTCCTCCTCCCATGCATGCACCTCCTGCCGAGACAGCAGACTACAGAAGCTGACCCTACTGAGACCATCTTGTCTCTCTGACAAAGCTCCTTTTTAACTTCTTACTTACTGGTTACTTCCTGTGATGGAGAAAAACTTTAGCTCAGCTTGTGATAATTTCACAGGCCCTGAGGACCCTGACCCTAAATAGCCTCAAGGTCAGAAGTCAAGTCTTGTTCTGAAACATCTGTGTGCTTTATATTAAAGTGGAACAAAAGTAGAGAAATATTCACCAGTGTGTGACAAGGAGGACAGGCAAAATACGAGTGACACACTGGTCATCTGTTACTCTGGCATCTTAAGTTTATTTTAAAAACTGTCTAAAACTTAGTTAAATTCCAAATATGATGTACTGAAGACTTTTTTATAATATTAAAGTAGAAGAGAGAGAGACAGAGACAGAGAGACAGAGAGAGAGAGAGAGAGAGAGAGAGAGAGAGAGAGAGAGAGAGAGGTCTTACAGGCTTTCAGCCATATTTTATTACTCTGTCAATGAAATCAATGAAATATCATGATTTAAGTCATTTAATGTTGTGCAAAGAAAACACAAGCTACATATATGAAAACTTTTGTGTGTGTGTGTGTGTGTAGGTTTAAAAGAAAACATTCACATTTTAAAAAGTCACCTTAACAGTTTATTAGCTATCTTAATATTTCCAATATATATTAAAATAAATTCAACAGAGATAAAAGTACTTGAAGTCATTTCTAAAAAGTAAAATCAACTGAAGAAATAAACAATTTAATTCATTTCCTGATCTCAAGAGAGCATGAGCATTTGAAAATTTTAGATCAGCAAATCTATTCTCTGGTGTCATTACCAGTTATATCTAAATCATGTGGGTAAGCAATAAAGTGTGGGGAAGTTAAAAAGCCATGGAAATATTTCTAATTTCTATGAAAAGAGAAACACATAGCAAAGTTTAGAAACATAAAAATTAAGATAACCAATGCTGTGCCTGTGTTCAGTGTCCACTTGAGGCTACTAGATTTAAAATTATCAAATGGACTTTAATCAAATTAATCACTTTATTGTAGAACTAGTATCTTCCTGTGATGTAAGGGGTTATGGGCATAAAGGCACAAATGCTTCAGCAGTATATTTTTAATAATGATTATATCTCATTAATCATTCACATTGCAGATAATACAGACAAAATTCCGAAACCTTAATCATTTTTTCTATCATGTACATATAATCTTAACTCAAACAATCAGCTTATTTTGAAATGCAAATATTTTTGCAGCCAAATAATAAGTTCCACATAGAAACAGAATAATAGCTTTAATTACGTAGATTCTAACCAAGTGCTAATTTGTAGAGATAAATCAGGTAAAGGTTATCAAAATATCAACCAATGGATACAGACAATAGGGTGTTGAAGGCCTGGAGGGGAGGGGGTCAATGGGAGAAAAATGGAGACATATATAATACTTTCAACAATAAAGAATTATTTAAAAATTAAAAATATTCTCAAATATTCAAAGGGTCTCTTAAAAATGTTAACACTTTACAGATATATATGATATACAGATAAGACAGGAGACATAGATATCATAAAATGTATAGAAACTGGGTTATAATGTAGAAATTAAAAAGTTATAATTAGATAAGGAACAGGCAAAAAACTTCCTGATTAGTATTTTAAAGTTCCGCCAAAATAAAATAAATAAGTATAGTCTTTTTAAACAGAATAAAATTATTTACTCAAAAGACAGTATTTTCATCCATGACAAAGTCATTTAATGTAATTATGTCAACAAAAAGGGAATGGAGGGGATAAACCTATAGGAAGTTTGGGGATTAAAACTAGAGTTAAACGTGCACTTACCAGTTCAACAAAAGCAAGTCCTCCATAGCTGTGAGCAACAAAAAATACATTCTCAGCCACCGACTGGGCTATGAAATGGTCCCATACATAAATGGAATGTTCTTCAGGAGAGCCATTTTCCTATAAAAAACAAAAATCATATATGAAATACTGTATCTAATTACTATCAGAGTCATCAAAAATTAAATTATGTGCTTGCTTATATAGCATAAGAAATAAGATGGGTAAGGATTATTCAAAATAATAATACAAAAGGACTACTTTGAAAATTCAAATTAGAGAATAAATTAGTATTATACTATTACTAAAATATTACTAAAGTTAACTGCTACTATAATCTTTTGAAACAAAATATTAAAATAAGCACATTGTTGAGGGAATAGTCCATTCTACGTATATCTGAGATATTAAAATATATCTAAGGATATTCATTGCATAGCAGAATAGGATAGTAGTCTTATGATAAAACTGTAACACTAAAAAATTCAGATATAATTCTATATGTGTATTTGAAAATATTTATATTAAATTATTTGAACTATAAATTTTTTTAAAATATATTTTTTTATTGATTTTTGTACAGAGAGAAAGGGAGAGAGATAGAGAGTTAGAAACATCGATGAGAGTCATCGATCAGCTGCCTCTTGCACACCCCCTACTGGGGATATGCCCGCAACCAAGGTACATGCCCTTGACCGGAATCGAACCCGGGACCCTTCAGTCCTCAAGCCGATGCTCTATCCATTGAGCCAAACCAGTCTCAGCTGAAATATAAATTTTTAAGTGTCTCTGTAAGCTGAAAATAAGCAGAAATGAGCAACAAATATTTTCTATTTATATCATTTAAAATATACATTGAAAAAGAAATTTTCCATACAATTATTTTTCTAGAACTAGGAAAAATCTAAACATATAAATCCAAAGCCTTTCACATTTCCCTAAATTGTTAAACCTTAAAACATGTATGCATGTTGCTTTAATTCTAAAAGTTTTATAATAATTTCATTTTCTTGTGTTTATTTCTATAACTGACACATATTGTAGTAAAACCTGGATAAAGTGAAAAAGAAAAAGAAAAAAAAACCTGAAGAGCTAAATAATACTGATTAGAAAACAAACTGTTAAAAACTAAACATCATGAAAATATTTTGTACAAATATTTCCTGGAAGCTTTCACACCAAAAGATTAATTCCCTAAGAAGGTCCATATGAATGGTTTCACTTGCCACCTAAAAGCTGTTGTTCCCTAATATCTATCTCTGCCCTAAATTTCTCTCCAGAGACCAAGTCATTTCCTTCTGGATGACCCAAAGATAATTCAAACTCAACCAATTCAACACTATGCTAAGAATATTCTCTGTGAGCCTATGTCACTGTTTTTTGCTCCCCACCTCCAGCTGAATTCTGACAATCGTATTTTATTTCTCTCTCCCTCAAACTCCACATATAATCAATCATTAAAATGCTGTTGATTCTGTCCCCAATTGTCTCTTAATTCATTCACTTCTTGCCATTTTCATTTCCCCTGGCTTAGTTCAAGCCCTATCATTTCACACGCTGATGTTGGCAATGGTCTCCCGCCCACTTTCCCTGCTTCTAGAATTGGCCATTAAATGCTCCTCTGTCTAGTTCTGTAGTGAGGACAACTTTTCAAAAATACAATATGATCATGTTGCCACATTACTCACTTCCTGCTTAGAGCCCTTCAAAATTCCCTCATTGCCCTGAGAATTAAATTCGAACTCAGTAAAGATGACATTAAGACCTTTCATGATCTGGCTTCTACCTTGAACTCTGTCTTTTATTATTGCCCTGCAAAACACAATGATCCCAAAGACACCCATTTCCCACCAACAGAGACAACCGAGAACATTCCTGCGTTCCAACTACAGGAAACAACTGGCAATAACCTATCTGCACCATACTTTTCTTGCCTCTGGACTATTTCCTTTGTTTCCAAAGTAACGCCTGTGACATGCCCTCACTTTACTCACTCCCTTCACCTACTAACTCCGACTTATCTTCTGAACTCAAATGAGACATCACGTTCTATCAAAAGTCTCCCCAAGGAGAGGTAATGTCCCACAATAACATCTTGTGGATGCTCCCATTATTGCATTGAATGATTTCTATTGCTAATCGCTTGCTAGATTAGCAAATTCTTGAGACCAAGAGCTGTGTCTTGTTCATTAAATATTAGGGTAATAAATGAATAATGAAAAAATATTTATCTTCAGGATGATTACTTACAACCTTATAGTCATATACAGAAATACAAATTGTATTGGGAGAACAGGTCTAAATTCAGACAATCCAGACAAAACCCAGATACCTGGTATTCATAATTTTATCTCACAATGAAAGAAATGTATAGAAAATATAGTCAATAATATTGTGGTAACTATGTGTGGTGACAGGTGGGTACTGGAAATATTGGGGAGGGTGGAGACAATTTGTGAAGTATTTGTTGTACATCTGAAACAATACAAAATAATAAACAAAACAATAAAAAAATTTAACTATAATTGAAAAATTAAAAAAATGCCAAAAACCCTATTTCCAATACCACCACCACCCCCACCCCCATAAAAAGAGAAATAAATGTAAAAACAAAACAGACAGAGTTTCTACATGCTATGGCTGGCAGAACTAACACTCTTTAAAACCTGTGATGGTAATAAATATTCTTTTACGTGTTGACAGAATAAAGACATATACAGAAGAATATATTACTCTGTTCCCATGATACTCTGTGCTGGAAGTGGGTGTTTAAGGACAAGAAGAAGCAAGCCATGATCCTGCTCTTTAATATGTTTGCAATTTCATGAAGGTGTTACATAAAGACATAAGGGGCAGTAGTATGTGAGAATATTACATTCCCTACTCATGACACCAAGTTCAGTGGACACATTATAAATCCATATGATCTGACCTCACTGAGGTTCTCCTGGCTTTCTTCTCACAATCACCAATTCTTCTTTGAGAACATACCTGTCCCATCCTTTCCATTCCCACCTCAGTTCGGATCCTCTTACAATAGATTCTTAGTAGTTTCATTTCTTCTAGTCTTTCCCTTTAATCCTGTTTTTCTAGCCTTTCTTCTCACTATTTCCTGAGATGTTATATAGGCTCCAGGAAAATGTGGTTTACACACGAACAGTTTGAAAACGATAGACAAAACAGTATCATGGAATGTAGACTGGGATCTCACAGGTAATGCAGCTCAGATAAGATAAAACCTAAAGGCAGAGAGCACTTCCAAGGCGGCATGTTCCATAATCCAAATATATAAAGTGATAAAGACTATAAATGCTACTGGGGTGACAGCAGAGTGAATGGAAAGGAAGGGATGGAATGAGTCATTGCAACAGAAGTAGTAGCAAAACTTTGTGACTCACAGGATATGAGGGAAACTGTCAACCAGGCCCAAATGACCTATCTCTGACTGACGGAGAGCTAAGAACAAACAGTTCTTTCCACTGTTCACATATAAAAACTACTGTTTTCAGAGATCAGTATTATAGCTGATTCTTTTCTATACTCTAGGGAGACAACATCTGTTTAATAATGGCCTGTCAGCAGTAGCAAAAGGAAACCTTAAGTATTCATGTGCCCTAAGTACTTAAATATGTTCAGCACCACTCTAAGATCATTACATTATTCATTAGTTTTAGGTTTTAAAGCAAATTTTCTAAAAAGTGAAAACCGATTGAAAAAAAATGTCTACAATATCCACTTATGGGGTCACCTATAAGTAAGTAAATAATTTGGGTCACACTTGACAGTCACTGACCCTGCAAAATACAGGGCAGAAATGACAGGTTGCCTTTAGGGCAACAACTTTGGTGAGAGCCTTCCAATAGTTCCAGTAGCAGCCCTCACGGACTTCCAGGATTTATGCCCTTTGGCCATAGGGGGCTAGCTCAGTAATGAGGGAACCAGACTCACCTTGGGCAGATGCATGAGTTATGCTGACCTAAAAGTCTTACATCCCACAAAAGCCAATACCTCTTGCAACAACTCCATAAGCATGGCTTCCCAGGTTCCTGCCTATGTGGAACATGACCAATTATAAGAATTACTACCCCCAGGGAAGACCAAAGCTATAGAATGTATAGCCCATATCTCTTCTAAACAATGTTGCCTACCAACCACCCACAGTGGATGGTGTAGTATGTTTCCCAGAACTCCTGTTAGTTATATGGCACTCATTTCCTGAGCTGTGGGAGGATTGGCCCTGATTAGCTCTAACTGAATACTGACGGGGAGCTGTTCTCACCCAAAGAAAGTTAAATTGCCTAAATTAACAGTCCCACTTCTGAGGCAACTTATATCCAGTGACTGTTGGTGATGATGTGTATCTGTAAGATCCCTATCTCTTACCTCAAGGCAAGACATCTCTAAAGAGCCATCCCAGATGCTGAGATTGGCATAGATTTGAAGGAGGCCTTTGTGGTGACTATATGGCAGGGCAGTTCAGATCCTCTTTTGAAATTCCTTCCCCCCCTCCCTCACTCCCTTACAAATGAGGATCCCTAGAAAACTCCCCAATGAACTTCCTGCAGGCAACTTCAAAATCTGTTACCTGGGAAACCCAATTTAAGACACTATCTTATCAGGTTGCCAGGGACAGTAGAAAGTTAACTGAAGGACAGATTCTCATCTGACAGATGGAGAAAGGATTTTGCCAACCTTTGACACACATTTTACAAGAAACATAAAGAAAGTATTTACATCTATTTGCATGTATTATCATGACTATTTAAAACCACTGCAAAATATTGTTGGCTTACATTTACCTGTCAGCTCTATTAGTGATGGTAGGTTACATTTATTCCTCTACTATTTCATTGGTTCTTCTCTAGCCTGCTTTTTCTTTAATTTGCCAAGTCACTTCTCCTCCCTTCTAGAATATAAGGTTTTAAAACCAGATTTGAAGTTAGATACTCTTTCGAATTCAAACTATAAACACGAGGCATTTACATTTAATAAATGACTAACGATGCCAGGTCTACTGGTAGTGATACTAATGACAAAATATGAAGTGAGTTTCAAAAACCAAGACAAAGAAGTATTTAAACTCCAGTTAGGAATCTAGCTTCTAGTAATCTGAAATGTGG